GCAAGGATGGCTAGACAGAAATTTTGCACATATTTCCTTTAATAAATGTGCCACTCATTTACATATGGGCTGCATTGCGGACGGTCTGAAAAGGTAACTATCTTATCAGGCTAGATTACAGCATCTACTCAACAAGGATTGCATGGGATCAGCACACAGCCGTTGTAGCAGGGACAGCAGCTTAAACAAGACATGACCAGTCTATGTTGAAACAAAACTTTCATTTTAAAGTGCAGTTTCAGTGGTTCAACACTGGCAGTCTCAAAATCTGGGAAATCAACCAAAATACATTGTGTGTATGCTTAAGCATGCCCATTAGCTCTGAATGATTGGCTTTGGAAAGTTGGCAAAGGAGCTGTTCTCCCTGAACATGCTTTAGCATTCTAATTGATCCTCGGTGAGGCCTGTCTGTAGAGTTGATCACTTATAAAGTACATCTAGGAGAATATTTAACTAGAGAGGATGACAATTTTACTCCAAAGACTCATCAAGAGCTAAATGCTTTGATAACATTGTTTGGAATCAGTGTTCTCTATAAGCAGATGACATTATTCTAGAAATGCCACTGTAAAATAAAGCCTACTTGTTACATTAAACTATATTTAAAGGGACATTAGACATTAATTAGACAACTTTTGTTGAAGATTTTTTAAATAAAATAAATGTTTCTGGAACTTTTACAAAATAGTTTAATATACATTTGAAGCTGATATGGACAGAGTTTTAAATAGCTAAGGGAATGTTATTTTGTTCAGTCAGTGTTTTGATCCAGATACCACTGTCAGAGAATACAACCAGGTTCTCAACCTCCACTGAAGTAGCAGCATGGCCTAAGAGCATTAGTTTTTTAACTTTTTAGTTAACTTTTGATGAGCTCTTTTTTCTTCTATTAGCATGTTCCATGGCAGCACATATGCATTACAGCAGAGCTTGATTGGGTTCTAGTGCTGCCCCTTCCCCTCCTGAAGTGAGCCCTGCTATCCGAGGAAAAGTGAAGCTGCAGTCGGCGGCGGACGGAGCCGCTATCACAGTGGCACGCCGAGTGGTGAGGAGAGAGAGAGCCGCTCGGCTTGGATCTGACAGCCATCGGCTCCATCTATCCTCACTGCAGTACTTGCTGCTGTTACAGCGGCTCCCTCCCCTCGCGGCTGAAGTGCTTTTTTCTCTTCTCCTCGGATCTCCCGCTGCCTCTGCAGGGGAGATCCAGAGGAGAATCTGAGCCCCCCTGTGCGTGGCCGAGCGGCAGAGGATCGGTACATATCAATGATATGTACCGGTCCTCTGTGCAGGACAAACACTGGAGCGATCAGCTGATCACTCCAGTGTTTGTAAATAACAGGGGACACCATACATCACTTCCTGTTTATTCATGAGTTTCTCAATGGGGAGAAGCACTCCGTCAGAGGCTCCTCCCCATTCAGAAACTGCTTGATAGTAAATATTTTCTGAATGAATGGGAAGCCTCTGTGCTTTCCATTCATTTAGAACAGAGGCTGCAGAAAAAGAGATTGAGGACTTTGTGTCCTCAATTTCTTTTTCTATTTTAAAAGGGAAATATCAGGGGGCTGTTTAGACCCCTAATATTTCCCCGAAGCCCCCCAACAGTAAAAAAAAATGTAAAATAACAATTAAATAAGTAATAATAAAAAATACTAAAAAATTAAATAAAAAATAAAATAAAAAATCCTGAAGGCAGGATGGCCAGGGTCCTGTTGGGGTCACACGACTGTTGGGGGGCACTTTTTTTTCTTGCCACGTGTGCAAAAGAAGCTGGCTACTGCTATGCTTCCGTGGTGCTCATGCGGCTGCCGGCTGAATGTGTCAGACGTCGCAAACGGAAAGGGGCGGGACACCTCTCCCCATGTGCAACGTCGGCCACACGAGCACCGTGGGAGGATAGGACGCCCGCGCCTCTAGAACGCACTGGAATGCGTTCAGGGGCGGGAGGGGGCATGGGGTTGCACCGCAGCCATGTCCCCTGCCCGCAGTTTGATCACCTGCACATTAGGCACATTAGTGCCTGCATTCCGGTCCAGTGTGATCTGCAAAAATAGTGCTTGCAACATTTTTGCAGATCGCACTGGACCGGAACACAGGCACCAATGTGCCCGGGTTCCGGGTGCAGACGATCGCACTGTGGGTGAGGGACCTGGCTGCGGTGCCATTGACTTCAATGCACCGCCCCGCCCCTGAACGCAGGTGTTTTTTCGTTGGTAGATGTCATTGAGCTCGTCATTTGAAAACTAGATCTCCAGACGAAAAATTGTGGGCGCCCCTGATCTAGGACAACATAGCTGATTTAGAAAAATTATCCCATTTAGCTCACTTTTCAGTTCAGCTATGTTGTCCTAGTTTGTTCTCTTCTCCTGCCTTCTCCAAACTCTTCACACTTTTGTGAATGGCTCTGTTGGTCTCCCTGGAAAGTAAAGTCCAAGAAATACATGATGATCCTTCCTTTGATAGAGTGGCAACGACTCTGCACTGCTTCTGAATTCAGAGCAGAGTTGTCACTCTCATGTAGACTGTGCCTGCCTGCAATACAGTGGTACGAGAAGATGTTGCAGAGGGTGTGGCTATTAGATTCTCACTGCTGATTCAGAAGCCTGCAGCTTGTTAATCAGCTGGCCACACCTACTCCTGCCCACTGCCTCATCTGCTGAAAATCTCCCACTGTAGGCTGCAGTGTCTGGATGGGGGGCATGTGAGGCACAAATTAAGGATTATTTGGCTCACTTAGGCAAAAAAAGTGTTTTGGTTTTTTGGGGGGTTTTTTTGCACCACATAGTAACTCGATTTGGGACCTGTTCAGTCTGTCACACTTGAGCCTTTAGATGTACTTTAACTCATTTTATATCTACCTGAAGATCCATTTTAAGATCTTATGGTCAGCAGTGATTTTTTTTCCAATTTAGCTGACTTCCTTTTGAAGTAATCCAAGATTAAATAATGCCACCTGTCACTTCCTTTAGCCTTAAATGTCAGATGACGTAGAAGAATAAACTGCACATAGTTATATTTAAATATATATATATATATTATTTTTGTTTTCACTATGACAACTTTTTTTATACCATTTGTATTAGTAGATTACATAATCTACTTTAAATGATCTTTTTGATCTTTAAATGTTTAGTCCTAATAATGCATTCAGCTTGAGTGTTTCCATGCCATTTAAACATGTTTTTTGGATTTTTAACAGCAGACACTGGGCAGCAAACATCTGGAAACATAAACCCTGATTAAAATTTGATCTTACAATACAGTGCATGTGATTATGAGTCAGCATATTTATCCATGAACTGCCCAATGCCTTAAAATTAAGAATAGGGAAATTCAGATAGAAATGTAACCACTTGCTGTCCGGAGCAATTTCTTACTATTTGCACACACAATAAAATCTGAAATATTGGCTAGAAAACAGCTTCAAACCCCCGAACAATTATATATTTTCTGAAAACAGACCCTGTAGAATAAATAAAAAATGCTAATTGCAATTTTTTATGTTGCCCAGTATTTGTGCAAATGTTTGTCAAACCAGTATTTTTAGGATAAAATACATTAAATTTAATTTAATGCATAGAAACAGAATATAATACTCAATTTGGTAACATATAAAAGATGGGGTCACGCCGGGTAAATAGATACCAAACATGTCAAGCCTAAAATTGCGTTAGCCTGTGAAGCTGCAAAAAACTACAATGCCCAAACTTTCCCATCGGGGACACATTAAAAGCTTTTTATTGCTCATCAGTTTAGTGTTAACAGTGATTGCAGTAGAATTATTGCTCTCTCTCCAACGTTCGCGACAATATGTAACATGTGGTTTTTTTGCAAGCAAGGCACACCAATGCGTTTTCGTGTATGTATGTACATGCATGTGGGGGGCAGGGACTTTTTAAAAAAAATAAAAAAAAATGTATGTTACTTTAGTTTTTCCATTTTTTTTAAACACTGTTAAAAAAAATGTACCCTAACTTTATTGCTATCACATAGGGCGCTAACAAACCCCCTATGTAATAGCAAATGGGGTATGACAGGTCCTCTTTATGGAGACATCAGACCCCTAATGTCTCCTAGGGACCCCAAAAAAGCTGATGAAGCGGTGATCTCAGAATGTGAACAGTGACACCGGACGTGATGTAATACACATTCCGGGTCCAGTGATCGGAGGAGAGATCAGCGGCTAGAAGCTTGGTGATCTTTCTCCGATCGATGTGGGGAGACCTACCGTGTCGGTGTTGGTCCTGGGTCCGCCCGGGGGACAGCGGCGCCTGGGGTAGCCAGGGGCGGCGTTAAGCACACTCCATCGATCAGTACAAGCAATCAAGCAGCTATATAGTCACCGGATCACTTGTACCTGAACAGCAATCGCCGGCTTTTTACCCTGATACCAAGAACACGGCTGCAGTAGCAGCTGTGTTCTTTAGTATAACACTTCAGTGGCCGGCCGTATATGTACGGCCACCCGCCTAAAGTGGTTAAGAATAGAAGAATAGTGAATAAATGCTTGATTCACACTTATTTACACCAACAAAAGGTTTGGATGACATTTCCACTGTTTGGGAAGTAAAACTGCAGCAGAAAACCTTGGGACACCTTTGTTGGAAGAAAGGTCTGTGATCGATGCCTAGTGCCTAATGTAAGCTGGGGGATTTTAGGGAATTATTTTATATTGTTTTCTGTAGAGAAAACGGAGATGTGCTGGTACTTATTCACTGTGGGGAGCTCAACAAATCGAAAAATGAATATTTAGATCCCCACCAGCTTTAGAGAATTTGGTAAAGTAAGTGTTTAGCCTATAGATTATGAACATTTAGTCTGTGTCTAGTTCCTAAATTGTTTTTTTCACAGCTAGACCTTAGGAGTTGTTCGTAAGTGTTCTGTCTCTAATATAAGGTATTATGCTTGATTTCATTTTTTTTCATGTAGTTCTATATTTATAAGAGATCAAAATGCCAAAATTTGGCACATTCTAACCATAAGGTTTAATTTACTTGCAGAACCTACCATGCAGACGTCCGAAACTGTGTCGGACACAGGTTCGACAGTGACGTTACAGACATCTGTAGCAGGTCAGGCAGCAGTGCCCACCCAGGTTGTGCAACAAGTGCCAGTTCAACAACAAGTAAGTGGCCATTGTTTATCAGAACAAATGACCTAATTTCCAATGAGATGAAAGGCTGTTATAAAGTAAACTTTACAGCTTGTAATTGATTGTATTAATACTGTATGCCAACAGTAAAGTTTGTTAGTGTTGTCTTGTATGCAAATATTGTATATCTTATGCAATAACGCTTCGAATAATTGTGATAATGGTGCAATGTGTGTATTCTATACATTCTGAAATAGTTAGATTTTTGCAGAATACTTTGAGGCTTATCTCAAAGAGAAATGAAGATCTGCAAAAGGAAAACCTTTACTGAAGTCAAACTGGTGAAATATCCAGATTTGTTCCTGGCAATTGCATTCTGTATATTGTTTTTGACCTAATTAATAATGCTTAGATATATTATGGAAAAAACAATTATGGAAAGGGTACAAATTGAACATATTTTCCAGAGAAACAGCAAACTGATCAGCAAAATCACAGTCATTTGTAGCTAAGCTTGTGGGTGTAATATAAACAGACGTGGACAAATTTATTGGTGCCCTTACAGCTAATTGAAACAATGTTTCATTCCTCCTAAAAAGTTATGTAAATAAAATTATGTATACCTGCATGCCTTTGGCGTGTTATACAGTAAAGCAAAGAAAGTGTGAAATTCAATTATTGGTTATTCTACAAAGATATTCTGATATGGCCTGGACACATTTGTTGGTGCCCCTAGAAAATATTATAAATAATTGTATAATAGTGATATTTCAAACTGTTTTCTGTAATTATTAGTATCACGCGTGTCTTTAATCTTGCTATTAGTCAGCCTATTTAAAGGATTAAGTACTTGTGCACGCAAGGGTTAAGTACTTGTTTTGGTCTAGGGTCTAAAATAAAAAAGATATACTCACCCAATCCTCAGTCCCATGGCCACCTCGCTCCCCCTCTACTCCGTCTGAATGTCCCTCGGCAACCTCACGTCCAGTGCAAGTGAATGGACATGATGACGTCACAATTCCTTAGACTGCCAGAGCCTGGGGCAGAAAAGGCTGCGAAGACTGATCTAGCAGCCAGACGGGACCGAGGATTGGGTGAGTATAGCTTCTTTATTTTAGACCCTAGACCAAAACGAGCAGTTAACCCTTTAAGTGCAGGGGTAGCCCCACTGCACGGGTTAATGTTGGAAAAAAAGTAGTAATGGGCCAGAGAAAACAAAGGAGATGAGTTGTCTGAGAAGATCAGAAATAAATTAGAGACCAGCATATCAAAGGTAAAGGCTATAAGACCATCCCCAAGTAGTATTATGTTCCTGTGACTACAGTTGCAATTATATGGGGCATTTTAAGTACCCTGGGAGTGTAGCCAACCTCCCTGCAGCCGTAAGAGGAAAATTGACAACAGATTTAACAGAGGATAGTTTGAACGGTAGATAGAACAAGGAACTTCCAAAGAGATACAAGCTGAACTCCAAGGTCCAGGTATGTCAGTGTCAGATTGTAGCATCTGTCGCTTTTTGAGCAATAGTGGTCTCAAATAAAGAAGACCCAGGAGGAATCCACTGTTGAAAGAAAAACATAAAAAAGCCAGACTAGAATTTGAATAAATGCATATTGTCAAGCCACAATACTTCTGAGGGAATGTCATTTGTATAGATAAGACAACACTGAAGCTTTTTGGCAAGGCACATCAGCTCTATTAAGCTTGGTTATTTTTGAGGGGCTGCTTTGCTGTGCTTTCCATGGGTGCCTTGAAACTTTGCAAGGAACAATGAAATCTCAAGACTATCAAGGAATTCTGAATTGAAACCCAGGTGTGAACCCAGCCTTAAAGGCAATCACTGTACACAAAAAACGAGCAGAAAAAAAAAATAGGCACATTTTTTCTGCTTGTTTTTCAGCTCGTTTTTTGCAAATGTTTTGGCACGTTTTTTCGTTCAATGAAACGCGCGTTCAACGCTCGTTTTTTATACCTCCCTGGCGGTATGATTTTTTTTCCGTTTATTTCCTCTATCTTTTTTTAAATTAAACTTTCAAACCTTCCGCCGGTTCCGCCCCCCTGCGACGTGGCCGCTAGCAAGGGACGGAACCCGGAAGTTGGCAGCGGCCGGAGGACACAGCAGGGATCGCGGACAAGGTAAGTCCTACACTGTATTCCTGAGTGTGGCTCGGGGTTACCGCTTTGTTAACCCCGAGCCACACTCGGGAATACCAATGGATCAGCGCGTTTCCACGGACTGAAATACGCCCAGATGGGAACCATGCCCATATGGATTCATGGGATTTCACTTGCTGAGCGTTTTTCAGCAATTCGATCAGCACTGAAAAACGCCCATGTGTGAACCCAGCCTAAAGGTTGTACAACAAAATATTGGGTTATGGGTCTCATGCCATTTTCATTGGTTGTGTTATTTAAAATATTCTGTTACATCAAAAATCAAAGGTAAAGTCTGATTTTTAATAAATATGTACTGCCAGTTTCAAGTTTTTTAGTTAATACTTTTTCTTTTTTCAACAATGTAACAATTTCAGAGAAAATTGTGGGTTCTTCTTTTTTGGTGGAAGGTTACCAACAAATGTGTTCACACCTGTAGATATATCATACTCTGTTTAATGTGTTCACAAGTTAGCATAGACACCTGAGTAGACTTTCTGATATGCATTGTAATTTTGAGAAATTATAGATGACAAAACCTGGGCTTATTTTCGTTAGTGTCAGCTAAAATAATTTTCTACTTTTTGATCAATCTCATTCCATTTTCCATAGCCAGTTAAAGCTGTTACAAGCAGCTCGCACCATTAACAAATATGTAAAACCAAGTACTATCAACTATAAGGTATGACAAATTCTAAGGCACAACTACATCTGTCTAAGTCAAGCAGATATTGTAGTCAACCAGCTTTGTCCAACTTTGATCAACTAGACTAGAAGGAAGGAAAGGAGGGGTGTAGAAAGAACTTCAGTGTCTCCAGCTACACTCCACATCTATGTCTCCATTAAGGAGGGTTGTTTCAAAGCTAATTACTGCTTGTGAAGAATACTTGAATGTCCATAGCCTGGCCACAGGTTTACTTTGGGGGAGTTTTTGTGGCAGTCTTACCACACAGCAGGCTCTTAAGAGTAATCTATAAGTCTTTTCTCTCTCTCCGCATAAAGGACTCTCCAAGGAACTTTTTCTTTCTCACTTCAAGTGATTTCATTTTAATTTTGATGCAGTCTCTATCTATATTCAGACAACAACCTATCTTTCGCCAGAGTATCCTAACAAATACCATTTTCTAACTGGGTACTACCTATATGTGGCAGGCTCGGCAAAAACAGTAGAAGTGTATCATGTTAGAACAGTGGCTACAGAATATAGGCTTAAATGAGAACTATGAGGAGAGTGATTTCCACTCATCCTCATAGTTAGAGCCAACCTGTGACAAAGAAGCTGTCACAGGTCGGCTATATTTATCGGGAAGTGAGCAGAAACATACCGCCGATCCGCTCACTTCCCGATCATCTCCCTGCAGTGAGCGGTGACTGTCAGTGCTCTCTCTATATCGTGGGGAAATAGCCCGCGATATACTGAGCTTTGGGTCACGGGAGGAGGTTCGTATATGTCCTCCCGTGACCCTAAAGAGTACTGTGGGAAAAACACTTACCCCATAGTTCTCTTAAGTTGGAAAATATCTATCAACAAAAATGAACTCTTCATTGTCGGAAGGGCTGATTGTTTCCCCCTAGGTGCACCCCTGATTAGACTTGATGACTTGAACGAATGGCCTGGCAAGCGCAAAGGTCTTGATACCCCCATTCCCCTCTTTTGGTGGGGTCCACTTGTCTAGGTGGGGACATTGCATCTAAAATAAACTACTAGGAATACAAACTATTCTTTTCTGCCGTCAGATGTGTTATGCATGTTGGAAGGTAATATAACTATTGTCTAGAGCTGCAGCTAACGATTATTTTCAAAATCGATTAGTTAGCCGATTATTAAGTTCGATTAATCGGTTAATCGGATAAACAATAAAACTAATTTTAAAAAATGGCTCCAGTGATGTCTACTTGAAATTTGGCATTATAATGTTTAAAAGTACATGGCTTTTATTTTAATTAAGCCTATAAATGGATAGAGTATCACATAAATTATTTTGAACACTGTTAGAGTAGACAAGGATTAATGCTTCTTGTTTTCAGAAAGCCAATAGTGTGACATTTCCTTATGTCTGAAATCAGACTGATAGATGCTTTTGAACTACATGGCCCTTTCATTGTGCTGATCAATTTTGCAATCAGTTGTTTGCTGAATTATAGTACTTTATCATATGTGTTGTTTGAGCAACGCAAGAGATATATTCTTCTCATAATGTCTGAAATTAAAATAAGATATTTCTGTTAACACAATTAGTGGACATTTATTGGGATATTTTCTGCATGAATGGGGCATCTATCAAGTGAAAAGGCCAGCTTTGACTCATTTATACATTTATTAATGGATTTGCCACATCTTTGATTATTATATGAGCACGATTTGGGTAAACTTTAAGATACATTTATGTATAGCATTTCTACACTTCAAAGTGTTGCTAAAGGGATTTACCAACAGCAAGCCAACAAATTTCAACTGACAATTATCATGTGCAGTTTAGAAAATTTTCAGCAGGTATCTGACTGTTCCTGTTTAAATATTGTAAACTTGTCTCATTTGCCAATCTGTGGCATTTTCTGTGGTAAATATGTCACAGATGCTCTAATGCCCTAATCTGCTAATTTGTGCTTTTTCATGCACAGCATCTGATTACTGCAACAGGCTAGTGAAGCTGTTGTTGAGCTACATGGGCAGCCTGCTGACAGTAGCACTCTGTAGGTATCCTCTTGGTCTGCAAGCTACACATGTGATCAGAGTGCTGCTGGCAAAAATGTTTATAAAGAAGCAGCTCTGGGGAACATAGGGTGAGGAGAGGGTCCACTGATGGTGTTTTGAACTGCTCGTTGCACGCTGCTCAAGTGTGCAGCCAGAGATGTGTCAAGCCAGGCATTGATCTGCC